TCTCAAGACAACAAACACTATGATTTAGAAAATGACATTGATCCAGAGATCCACTTTTACCAGAATATTGATTTGAATTGTGAATATTATTCTGAAGATAAGTTCAAATCAAAAGTGAAAATGGAGGGGTTTTCAGTGATTCATTTCAATAGTAGGAGTCTCTACAGAAACTTTTCAAAAAATTAAACAGTATCTACAACAGTTTAAAAATAAGTTTTGTGTAATGGCAATTTCTGAAACTTGGTTGAGAAGTGACAAAGAATTTCAAGGTGGAATAGAGGGTTATGAGATGTTTTGGAAAAACAGGGTCAACAAAAAATGTGGGGGTGTTGCCTTGTTTGTGAAGTCTGACTTTAAGTGTAAGGTTATTGAAAATATGACAATGGTGATTGATGATTTGATGGAATGTTTAACAATTGAAATCAACATTGAAAGAACCAAAAATATATTAATTAGTTGCATTTATAGAACACCAGGGACTTGTTTAGATCAATTTAATAAGAAGATTTCTGAATTATATGAAATACATAAGGAAAAAGTGATTTTTGTTTGTGGTGACTTTAATATTGATTTAATGAAATCAAATGATCATATTAAAACGAAAGAATTTGTTGATATAATGTTTAGTTTGAGTTTCTACCCCTTAATTTTAAAGCCTAGTAGAATAACAAAGGACAGTGCAACACTGATTGATAATATCTTTACAAATATAATGGATGAAAAGTTAGTAAGTGGACTATTAGTGACTGATGTAAGCGATCATTTACCAGTATTTGCTGTGTTGGAAATGAAGAATAAGTTAAAATTTAGAGAAAATTGTCATATATACAATTGGGTCAGACAGAAATCATCAGAGGCAATATTGGCACTTAAGCCAGACCTTTTGAGTCATAATTGGCATGAGGTTTATGTAGAGGATACCAATAAGGCATATAATGCGTTTCTGGGTACATTTTTGTCATTTTATGACAAACATTGTTCTTTGAAGGAGTACAGACAGAATCCTAAAAAGAGTGTGAAACCATGGCTAACCAAGGGTTTGGAAAAAGCTTGCAGTAAGAAAAAGAGGCTTTACAGGGAATTTATCAAGTATAGAACAAAAGATAAGGAGGACAAGTACAAAAAATATAAAAATAGATTGACATGTATTATGAGATCACAAAAAAATGGACTATTATAATCAGATGTTACATATGCACAAAAATAACATTAAAGCTACTTGGGGTGTGCTTAATGATATGATTGAAAAATCCAGTAAAAAGGAATTTCCAACATACTTTGAAAAAAATGACAATTCAGCTATTGAAAATATAGAGGAAATTGCTAATGAGTTTAATGATTATTTTGTTAATGTAGGCCCTAACTTGGCCAAGGAAATTAATCACCATACGGAGGAGGAAAACAATTCTGATTCAGCAATAAACAACAAATCTATGTTCCTCAGTGGAGTTTGTGAGAGTGATATCCAAGAAGTGGTAAGAAAGTTTAAGAATAAGAAATCAACAGATAGCAATACCATCGACATGTCAACCATAAAAGAAGTCTTTGACTCAGTCCTCAAACCATTCACTTATATATGTAATAAATCATTTTTATCTGGTATTTTTCCTGATGAAATGAAAAGGGCCAAGGTGATACCAATCTTTAAGAGTGGTGACAGACATATCAAACTATAGACCTATATCATTGCTCCCTAAATTTTCCAAAATACTTGAAAAATTATTTGTTAATAGACTTGATGGCTTCATTGAAAAATATGGCTTATTGAGTGACCATCAGTTTGAATTTAGGAGCAACAGATCAACATCTTTAGCAGTGATGGATTTTGTGGAAGATATAGCAACAGCAGTTAATGATAAACAAACCTCAATAGGTGTATTTATTGACTTATGCAAAGCGTTTGATACAATTGATCATTCACTGTTCTTACAAAAATTGGAACAGTATGGAATAAGAGGTGTTACTAATCAATGGTTGAGAAGCTATTTAAATAATAGGTTTCAATAAGTAAACATAAATAATACAGAATTTCATCTTAGAAAAGTGACTTGTGGTGTTCTGCAGGGTTCTGTAATAGGACCCAAGTTATTTATTCTTTATTTAAATGACATTTGTACAGTATCTCATATTTTTGAATTTGTTACGTTTGCTGACGATACTTATTTACTTTGCTCAGGGGACGACATACAAGAATTAACAGTTGAAAGGGAACTGATCAAGTTAAAACAATGGTTTGATAGAAATAAGTTGTCACTCAATGAAAAGAAAACCAAATTCATGGTATTTGGTGGTGTTCCTTCTGACTGTGAAATTAAACTGAACATAAATGAAACAGAAATAGAAAGAGTATATGAAACAAAGTTCTTGGGTATTATTATGGATCATAAACTCTGTTGGAAACCACATATTCAATATATTATAGGTAAATTAGCCAAATCTGTGGGTATTGTTGAAGTTATTTCAAACTTCCCCGAGTCCGTTGATGGAGAATGGAACAGAGGATTCACTGAGGCAAAAAGGTGTCTTCAATAAACCTTTTATTTCGGCACATCAAATAACACAAGATATCTTGGAGAGCACAACATCAACCCAATGGTATCTCTGAGGTGGTCTGATTACTATTTTTCAGTAGTTAATAGTTATACCCTAGGAGGCGTCTCATCATCTTTTTGGGCGGAGAGTTTACATAACCAGCAGTCCCCAGTATTTCTCTATGGACAAACAAGCACGTATTGTTCTATTTTTTTTACCTGACCGAAACCGTGGTTTCAGGGAAGTTGACCTTGGATGCATCCAGCGCTTGTCTCCTTTTATCATATTTGCGTCATGTATTCCAAGCTTTCACTGAGTTCCCACTGGGCAGACTGCTGGGCATGCAAACCCTCCCTTTACACCTCCCCATCTTCTCAGGACAGAGTGATCTTCCTCCCTCGTCCTGTTGTTCACATCTCTGACTAGCACCTGCACATCTGTTTATGAAAGGCACATCATTATCTGAGGCATATGTCAGGGTCATAGAGCACTTTTATAAGGAACACTTTTAATAAATGACTGTTGTGATTATAATACACACTTCAAATAAATGACTGTTAAGGCATAACAGTTTATAACCATACTTACCAACCCTTGGCACTTCTAGGCATAAGCTAAAATCTAAATGACTGTTAAGGCAGAACAGTTTATAACCATACTTACCAACCCTTGGCACTTCTAGGCATAAGCTAAAATCTAAATGACTGTTAAGGCAGAACAGTTTAAAACCATACTTACCAACCCTTGGCACTTCAAGGCATAAGCTAAAATCCTTCTATACTGAAAGTCTCTGTTCTATACATTGTGACACAGTGGTCAATTGCCCCCGTGTTAGCATTAAACCTTCTTATCTGACTCATCAGTACATGTCCGCAATGAGCACACAAAATAATGTAAACACAATAGGAAAACAGTTAATTACCTGAAACAATGACTAAATGATAGGTATGATATATGAGTTCCCACAAATTCCCCCTTTTGATCTCTTCAAAGAGATCACCTTCAATGAGCGAATCAACAGTGCCAGGAGTATAAATTTAACCGTCAGTACTTCCGCTATGACTAGGTAAACATTACTTTTGTTCGCATGCGGGGCGGCATCCAGGTCGGGGTCTACCACACTGAGGGACAGGTTAGTATCAAGCTGTGGGCTGGGGGTTAGAGGAGGAGATGGAAAACAACCGTGAGTACTTTGATTGCCAGAGGGATACACATCAAATCTACAAACCCAACATTCAGAAGGAGTGGGAACCATGACCTTTAAGTAAGTGAAATTGACGGACACTACTGACACCCCCTTTTTGGCTGTCATTCCCCCCCGGGGCGTGTAAGATACATCATAGGGTATGGGACCTTCTGCTTGTCGCCAATTGTTACCATCGCCGAGGGAGAGGCCAACTTGCATAGGAGTGTTTGGACCAGATTATTTGCAAGTAATGGTTAGGGCCGTAGCATTACCAGAGATTGATGGGCGGGCCGAATAAGCATCCTAACCGCGAATGGGACGTGAGAGGTATGTTGCATCGTGTTTTGTGGCGTTTGTAGGCAACTGTGGGAACTCCCTTGTCAGCCCTAAAATTATAAGCAGCAAACCTATGTTAAATAAGACTAAAGCAATCAACCATGGCCATGAGCCAAATTTAGGACGAGGGATCCTCATTTCGTTTCTGCAAAATTCAACCAACAAAAGAACATCGAACAATACAATGTAAGTTAATAACCAGATAAATGCCGAAATAAAAGGGTGTGGAACATACAGTGTGGAACATACAAGTAAGAATTTTTCTTGTCTTGCACGACCTGACAGATGATCCGTCCGTGGAGGTCGCCCGGACAGGCAGCGCAGCGTCGTTGTCTACTGGAGCAGGTGTCAGCCGACGTCCTGCGAGATGTTGTTGTCTTTCTTCAGGCGGTCAGGGGTAGACTACCCTGTGCCCTTTACGTTGCAGGGATTATTCTGCCCTGTGTCTTTGCAGCATAGCTTCGTTGTCTACTAGAGCAGTTGTCAGCCGACGTCCTGCAGGATGTTGTCTCCTTTCTTCAGGCGGTCAGGGGTAGACTACCCTGTGCCTTTTTCGTTGCAGGGATTATTCTGCCCTGTGTCTTTTCTGGAGGTGCGTGGCTCTTTGGTTTGGTTTCCTGCTGCAGACGCTGCAAGATCCTGCCGCACTTCCTTCAGGGAGCGTTGAGGTTTTATCGCTGGGGCGCACTGAGTGAGGTGGAACCAGGTGTCTACCTTCCCGTCCAGCTGGACTGCGTGGGAGGTTCTCTCGGTCACCCGAAATGGTCCTGTCCACCTAGGCTCGCTCCACTTTCTCTTGATGACCCAAAGGAGGACCCAGTCAGTGATGGGTAGGTCACCATCTTTGGTGCCGTCTTTGCTGTCTCGCACTTGCTTAGCAAATTCAGAGAGAACAGATTGCAGTTGTACATAATAATCTTTCTGGTGCATGTGGGAGGGAGGAGGGTCAGTGTTTTGCAGGGCTCGCTCTGGCCCTGGAAAAGGTCGACCACGTTCGAGCTCGAATGGGGTGTGTCCAGTTGTCCTGTTTACTGAGGATCAGATGGACATGAGGGCGAGCGGTAGAGCATCCACCCAGTTCAGCCCTGTGTGGGCACAAATCTTTGACAGCCTGTTCTTGACTGTCTGGTTCATCCTCTAAACCTTACCCTGAGATTGAGGATGATACACAGACCCAAAACCATGTTTAAGTCCCAACATGGCCTCCACGTACTGGAGGTCCTGGTTCTTGAAGTGTGACCCATTGTCCGACCTGATCTTTTCTGGGATGTAATGGTTGATGAGACACTTAACTACTGATTTGCTGTCCTCTCTTTTCACTGGCCATGCTTCTGGCCATCCTGTAAATGCATCAACACACATCAAAACATACCTGTACCCTCGGACTGAGTTAACCATATCTGTAAAATCAATGATGATTTCTTTCCCTGGACGTGTTTTTAGTTGGAACTTACCCACCCCGGGTTTGTATGTAGGTCTGGTGTTGTGGTGTGTGCAAACAGTGCAGTGTCTTACCCACTCCTTTAGCATGTCATGTAGGAAGGGGTGCCACCATTCTTTGAGGTCCACTTTCATCTGGGAGATGCCTGCATGGCCAACTCCATGTGCTTCTGAGAAGATACTGTCTTTGAGCCCAGGTGGCAGAACCAACCTTCCATCTGGGGATCTCCAGGTCCCTTCCGATAGGACTGCGCCCCTGAGTTTCCACACTGTCTTCTCTTCAGGTGAGGCTAGGTCCTGTTCTTTTGAGATTTCTGTAAGGGACAGTTTTGTCATTTGTGTCTCTGTGTCTGGTCTTACCAACAGGAGCTTCTCATGATATCCTGCGGCTGCTTTGGCTGCGGAGTCCGCTGCTTGGTTGCCCATGGCAACTCTGGATCCGCTGTTGTCGTGTCCTTTGCATTTGATGATGGCTACCTTCTGGGGAAACCACAGTGCTTTTGCAAGCTCTTTCATTTCATCCATGTGTTTAATGGGTTCTTGTTTTGCAGTTAGGTAGCCCGCTCTCATCCATTGTCCTAGGTCTACTTGTGCTGCATGTACTGCATAGGCTGAGTCAGTGTAAATGTTAATGTCTTGGTCTTTACCTGCTTTCAGGGCTTCAATCACTGCCACGACTTCTGCTCTCTGGGCTGACTGTGGTCCATTGAGCTTTTGTGCTGTTACCGTCTTGAGTCCGTCTGGTGTTTCTTCTATCACCGAGAATCCTGCTCTGGGTCCTTCCTTCTCATCTCTGTAGCAGCATCCGTCTGTGTATAGGTTTCTGGCCCCTGGGATGGGCTCCGTCTGGAGGTCTTCTCGGGCTTTTAATTCTTTTTCAACCCTGTGGGCACACTCATGCAACACACCTTCCCCCAAACGCTCAGCCATGTTAACCCTTCATGAGTGAATAGCAAGTTTGGGGCTTCGAGAATGCGAGCGAGTTTTTGCTGTCTTGTGGAGGACATCGTAAAAGTCTGTGAGTTCACATAAGCTACAACGCTGTGTGATGTCAAGATGTGAAGTGTGTGTCCCATAACTATGTGTGCGCTTTTGTTGATGAGTTTGGCAACACCTGCAGCATGTCTTGTGCACGTTGGTTGACGTTTTTCTGTGGGGTCAAGGATGACACTGAGATACATCAGTACCGTTCTCTCTCCCCCTTTTTTCTGGAACAGAATACCGTTAGCAACAGATTCTGTTTCAGAAACATCCAAAAAGAACGGGCGCGCGTAGTCGGGGAGGGCCAATTCGGCGGACGCAGCGAGTTCTTGTTTGAGTTTGATAAAAGCTGCTTCCGAGTCGCGGGAGCATGTCGGCTTCGCATTCAGATTTCTCATACCTGCAGAGGTGACCATGGCTCTCAGCGGAGACGTGAGAGTGGAAAAATCAGGTATGTACTGCCTGCTGTAACCCACCAAACCGAGAAACGACAGCATAGCTTTGACAGTGTCAGGCTTAGTGTGGTGCAGAACGGATGTGCGGTGGGCGGGGGACAATGAGGCCCCCTTTTGTGACAGTAGTCTGCTGAGGAAAGAAACTTGTTTCCGCGCGATTTGCAACTAAGGTTGACTGACCTTGAACCCATGGCGGGCCAGGAGTAGGAGCAGGGCCCGTGTGGCCTGCAGGCAGGACTCGGCTGTGGTGGACGCAATGAGCAGGTCGTCGACATATTGAATCACTGTGGTGCAATCGGGCAGCTGCAGGTCAGCCAAACTCTCTTTCAGAACCTGGTTAAAGATGCCAGGGGAGAGGGCGAATCCCTGTGGGAGGCGGGTGTAACGGAGTCTGCGACGCTGGTAGGTGAACGAGAAGACGTCCCGAATGAACTCATGTAAAGGGAGACAGAAAAAAGCATTAGCAAGATTAATACAATGTGCTTGTTCGGGGGACAGATTGTTCAGAGCAACATATGGGTTTGGCACCGGGACCGTATTGGTCCCCTACCATGGTCTCTAGGTATGAGTTCATGTGTGCATAAAGCAGAGTCAGTGGTAGTACTCACAATTCTGAACATTTTCAGGGACGGAGAGCGGAGCACGCCAGGCAGGCCGGAGGAAGACCAGTCTGAGGCTGAGACTGCTGCTTTGACCATGGGGCCCAATTCACGAGCCTCATGTCCCGGATGGAGAGCCAGTGAAATGTGGGGGAAAGCAGTCTCAGACATATTATACCAGGACTGTTGCTCTCTCGTGAGATTAACCATTGCCGCAACCCCCTGTTGTCCCACCAAAATGTCACCAGAATGTAGCTGCCAGGTCTTACCTTCTAGCTGATTTTGGAATTCCTCTAGGTAACATTCATTACCCTCCCGGTCATAGAACAGAGTCAGATGGAGCGGGTCAGGTGGAGCCACGTAGGGGTGGACGCTGAGGATCCAGGGTTTCCAATGGAGATAACATGAGTAGAGTCCAGTTTGTGATGGCTCCAACAGGGCCCAAAAAATGTCTGCAAATCTAGGTTCAGTGTCTCTGAGGAGGTACTGGTGTGTGTCCCCAGTCCCTTGTGCACATAGAACTTCAGACCCATCCGGGAACGTGACAGTGAGGCTCTGCTGACCGCAGAGGATCTGTGCATTGAGTCTCGAGAGTAGGTCCCTACCCAGGAGATTGGCTGGAACACTGGGAGACACTAGATAGGGGTGTTGTAATTTCTGTCCCGCTACGTGTGTGGGGAGGGGGATGGTAAATGACAGAATCTGACTTACCCCAGAGAAACCCACCACGCTCATAGTCCGTCCAGACAGAGGCCCAATGTCCTGATTAACCGTAGATCTGGTAGCCCCTGTGTCAACGAGAAAGGGCAGAGCGTGGCCCCGGACCGTCATGGACAGCATGGGCTCTGCCGTTACCCCGCTGTCCGAGTCGCTCTATGGGGCGTGTCATTGAGGATACTGGTAGGCGTCCTGAGCCTCCCAGGTCTGGTCCCAGGCAGTGACTGCGACTGGAAATTGGTGAGCCTGCTGCTGTTGCTGCCGCTGCTGTTGCTGCTGCTGCTGCCGTGGGGGTGGTCCTCCCTGTCTCAGCGGAGGTGGTCCACGGGCCATGCCACGCATCGGGTAGCTGTGTTGCTGCGGAGGGTTTGGTGGATAGTTCGGACATTCACGCCACCAGTGTCCATTCATGCCGCAGGAGTGGCAGGCGTTGTTGCGTGTAGGTGCTGTTTGTCCCTGATTCCAGTAACCGCCCTGGCGGGGAGGGCCATAATTACGAAATCTCCTGCTGCCCTGGAAACCTCCTCCCCTGTAGGGTCCACCAGACCTCGCTCCACGTCCTCCGCCCCACGAACCCTGAGATTGATCTGTGGGAGGAGAATAGGGAGAACAACCTGCCCGCTGGGGCACTGGGTACATGTCAGGTGAAATCTGTGGGTCGTTAGAGGCAGCGGCAATCATAATTTTATCTGTATTACGGTCTCTCTTACCCTCAGTGGCATTTCTCCGAGCCTGGGCGAGCTGCAGCTTCATAAGTTGTCTCTGCATGTCTTTGTCATCATCACCTTCTTTGTCGGCTCTGTCTTTCGCTCTCTGTAGGTGGTGTTTGAGATGTCGTTCCCACACCAGGCAGGTTGAGCCTGGAAGGTCTGGGCTGTTTTCTAAGAGTACTCTAACGTCTGCTGGAACACCTTTAATGACAGCATCTCTAAACTAATGTTCCTGACCCTTACTGGGGTGTACCCCCGTGTATTTGGACCGTTGCTCCTTGCACTGGGCTAGATACTCGCTAGGAGACAGACTTTTGTCTCATAAGAACTTGGGGATCATTGGACCGTTGGGAAGCGGGTATTTGGAACGGAGTTCGTTACGCAAAGCCCTAATTACCGTGACTAGCTGCCTGTCATCATTGTAGGAAATGGTGCCTGCACAGGTTTCGATGTCCCTGAGTTCGGTAGGGGTGACACAGAGCGCGAGAATAGCCCTGAAATCGCCGAGGGCTAGATCTTGGCCTTTAGTCAGGCAGTCCAATTTGTCCAGCCATAAGTTGCCTCCCTCAGAGATGGGGGGCAGCTTATCACTGATGGTTTGTGTATCGCTAACAGCGAATGGTTTATAGATTTTGTGTCCACCACTGGATTCGACCAGAGGGAAAGCGGAGGAGCTGTGGTGTGCTGTAGCTGTGTCTGAATATGCTGGCGGTAACATGGCTTTTGAGCGTGTGAAGTGATGGTGGCTGAGAGGTCATGGCTTCACTGGCGTCCGTGTTATCCGTATAGTTGACGGTGGAGCCTCTGATGGTCCTCTGCATCTCATCTCTCATGGTGCTGAGCATCTCGTCTCTCACTTCCTGTCTGAGTTCCTCCTCCACTCTGCTGCGCATGAGCTCTGCACCTGTAACATCTAGGGTGTCTTGCAGTATTTTATTGAGAGTGCTCTTGGTAGGATTGGGGTCATATGTACCTCTTACCGTGAGTTGGGCCGTGCAGGGCAAACTCTGTGAACTCTGTGAGCCTCTGTTCGGGGACGGTATCACCGTCTTAACCTGTCCCCTGGGGGTGGATCTCTGCTGTGGCTCAGGAGCGGGCAGTGAATCTGGTGTGGGCAAAGATTTAAATTGTAATTCTTTTTTAAACTCACTCAAAAAGCGGGCCTGACGGTCTCCAAATGGTGCATCGAGCTGGTCCTCCTCTTCCTCCTCGCTGTCCTCGGCTTCAGAATCGCTGTTTTCATCCATGTCTCGGTAGGTATCGTTGCCTTCTCTGTCCTCGTAGTCTGAGAGGTCGATGGTGGTGGTACCAGAGGTCCTAGAGGCCATGGATGGTGCCTTGTGTCCAGGGATGTGAGAAGTCAGGGAGGGGTCCGGCTGTTGAGGCATCATGGTGGGGGGTAGGTCAATCTTCAGGTGTCCTTCATTGATGTTGATCACTGGGTAGAGAGAAGTGCTCACAAAAGGATTAGTGGGTGAGAGTTTTTTTCTGTGAAAACCAGACTGAGCGGAGTGGTAAGGTGGGGGTAGAGGCGGAGCTTTGGGAGGCGGAGCTGTGGGAGGCGGAGCTGAGGGGTGGAGACCTGAGAAAGGATTCGTTGGTTCAGCAGTGGGAGGAGGCAGGATAGAGGGAGGGGTAGCTGGTGGAGGCGGAGCTGGGGTGGCACCCTTTGTGTTGGTGGGTTTGTCCTTCTGTGTCTTACTGTGTGTGTGTGCTGATTTGAATAATCTCATGTCTGTATTTGGGGTGGGGGTAATCCCTGTCAAGCCTTTCTCAGCTGCCTTTTTTTCATTAGTAAGATGCTCTGTCCCTCGGTGGGCTACTCCCAACGTCTGCCCCCTAGCAAGTCTTCTAAAATGCTTTTTTATGGCCTGTTTATATTTTCTGCGGAGCAAAATGCCGCCTGGCACTGCTTTCTTCCTTGCTGCTTCTCCTTTTGCTAGCTCTTCTTTCCCACATGCCCAGATGAGATCTCCTAGTGAGGATCTTTCATTTTCCCTCCCTTCGATAAGCTCTAGCAGCATATCAGCATACTTTTCCCTCCCTTTCACTGTCACCACAACTCCATCTTCTTTCCCTATGCCCTTTAAGATCCACTCTGCCTGTAGAGATAACGGGCCCCACCCATCATCATCTACCTCACGATCAAATTCACCATCCATCCCAACAACAGCAACGTCTCTTTAATGGCCGGCTGGTTTGTATGACACTTCCGTTTAGGGCAACCAGCCTTATTGGAGGCCTTCACAAAGCCGGTCAGTTTGTATGACATGTTCGTTCCGAGCAACTGACCCTTTCACTGAGACACTTTGTGTGAGGTTTTCTCCAAGACACCACTTTGAGACAAGTTCAATTTTTAGCATATATGTGGTCGAAACAGTCACAATTCACGCACAGGCTTCAATAATGTCACACAGCAGAGAGAAAGTTATTCTCCACTGAACTTTTTCTGTACGGCAGAACTCCTCGCACAGGTTTTAACTGTATCACACAGCAGAGACAAAGTTAGTCACCACTGACTTTTTTTCTTTTTTCGTGCGGCACAGCTCCTCGCACTAAATTCAACAATATCACACAGCAAAGACAAATTCAGTCTGTCCTGACTTTTGGTGCGGCACAGCTCCTCGCACTAAATTCAACAATATCACACAGCAAAGACAAATTCAGTCTGTACTGACTTTTTGTGCGGCACAGCTCCTCGCACTAAATTCAACAGTTATCACACAGCAAAGACAAATTCAGTCTGTACTGACATTTTGTGCGGCACAGCTCCTCGCACTAAATTCAACAATCACACAGCAGAGAGAAACTCAGTCTCCACTGAATTTTTCTGTGCGGCATATCACCTCGCACAGAATTCAACAATAACACAGCAGAGAGAAACTCAGTCTCCACTGAATTTTTCTGTGCGGCATATCACCTCGCACAGAATTCAACAGTTATCACACAGCAAAGACAAAGTCAGTCTGTACTGACTTTTTGTGCGGCACAGCTCCTCGCACTAAATTCAACAATATCACACACTTCTTTTCGGGGGGCTCCAAGTCCCCGGGGTTTGCAACCCAGCTCAACTAGCGCCCCGTCGAGCCACTAGTGGGGTCCGCCACAACCCAGAGCGGTGGTCCTTATGACTCTTTTCGCGGCCTTCACACCGGCTTCTCTTGAGTTTCACTTTTCATTTCACACATAGTTACTCTCTTCGTCAGAACACAGAATATCACAAGATGTACCAGTATAATATCATGAGCCTCGTAATAAATTTAGGATTCAGTATATACAGAGTTCAAGAGATCTTTGATTTAGAGTAACACGGATAGGCAGAAATTCTGTTAAAAAGGTTTTCTGCTGACCTTATTTTGTGGTCGACCAGATCTCTTTTCCTCTGATGCACTGAACAGTTTTCTCGAATTCAAAAGCTCTGTCAGAACTCCATCCCGGACGAGCCCCCAAAATTGTTGAAGTTATTTCAAACTTCCCCGAGTCCGTTGATGGAGACTGGAACAGAGGATTCACTGAGGCAAAAAGGTGTCTTCAACAAACCTTTTATTTCGGCACATCAAATAACACAAGATATCTTGGAGAGCACAACATCAACCCAATGGTATCTCTGAGGTGGTCTGATTACTATTTTTCAGTAGTTAATAGTTATACCCTAGGAGGCGTCTCATCATCTTTTTGGGCGGAGAGTTTACATAACCAGCAGTCCCCAGTATTTCTCTATGGACAAACAAGCACGTATTGTTCTATTTTTTTTACCTGACCGAAACCGTGGTTTCAGGGAAGTTGACCTTGGATGCATCCAGCGCTTGTCTCCTTTTATCATATTTGCGTCATGTATTCCAAGCTTTCACTGAGTTCCCACTGGGCAGACTGCTGGGCATGCAAACCCTCCCTTTACACCTCCCCATCTTCTCAGGACAGAGTGATCTTCCTCCCTCGTCCTGTTGTTCACATCTCTGACTAGCACCTGCACATCTGTTTATGAAAGGCACATCATTATCTGAGGCATATGTCAGGGTCATAGAGCACTTTTATAAGGAACACTTTTAATAAATGACTGTTGTGATTATAATACACACTTCAAATAAATGACTGTTAAGGCATAACAGTTTATAACCATACTTACCAACCCTTGGCACTTCTAGGCATAAGCTAAAATCTAAATGACTGTTAAGGCAGAACAGTTTAAAACCATACTTACCAACCCTTGGCACTTCTAGGCATAAGCTAAAATCCTTCTATACTGAAAGTCTCTGTTCTATACATTGTGACACAGTGGTCAATTGCCCCCGTGTTAGCATTAAACCTTCTTATCTGACTCATCAGTACATGTCCGCAATGAGCACACAAAATAATGTAAACACAATAGGAAAACAGTTAATTACCTGAAACAATGACTAAATGATAGGTATGATATATGAGTTCCCACAGTATTTTATATAGAACAAGGGAGCTGTTGAATAGGAAATGTTTGCATATTTTGTATTTTTCACTTGTAGTGCCATATCTGTCATACTGTGTTGAGGTGTGGGGGAATGTATATGAAACAAATATAGACCCAATCATTAAATTACAGAAAAAAGCTATTACAATAATGAATAAAGCCAGTTACCTTGAATCAACCAATCCATTGTTCATTAAGTCTAATACATTAAAATTTGTAGACATGGTGTACACCAAAACTTTGGAAACTGTTTTTCGGGCTAAGAGTAAAAGCCTCCCAGGTTGTATTCTACGTCTTTTTAAAACAAGAGAAGGACGGTACAATTTAAGAGGGGTTTACATTTTTAAAACAGATAAAAAAGCAAGAACAAATGTGAAAGCTAGATGTGTTTCAGTTTGGGGAGTTAAGCAATGGAATAACCTTAATGATGGGTTAAAATTGTGTAACTCACAGGTAATATTTAAAAAAGCATTAAAAAGCAAAATCATTCAGGAGTACATACAGCTTTGAGTAAGACATTTTCTTTCATTCTTTGTGTTTTTTTTTTCCTTTCGTAGTGCAACATATTATTTTAATGTTTCTTTTTAATATTAAAGTGTCTTTCTTTTTTATCTTATTTCAACATTATCAACTGTTTTAAATATTAAAATGATGTTATAAGGATTGTAAAGGATAGGCAATTATAAGCATTGTGCTTCCGCCTAATCCTTTTTTTGGTCAAGTTTATAATTCTGTTTGTTTCTCATTTGTTGTTATTGTGACCAAAAAATAAAACCATTCATTCATTCATTCAACTTGAAAAGCCTTCAACTAATTAATTCTGTATGGTACCGTGGCTGAGTGGTTAAGCAGCGGGTTCTTCCTCAGTGGACACGAGCGCGAATCCCAGCTTCAACAGCCTTCAACTCCTCTATACTTCCACATAGAAACTTCATTCAAAAACCAAAATATTCACAAATTGGTCAGCCTTATTCCACATCTTCAACATTTGTAATCCCATTTGGACTTTTCAAACTATTAAGATTTGTTTAATTGTTTCATATCCGGTACCCTTCGCAATAGCAGCTCAGCGATAGCAATTCAGCTCAAGCAATCCCACACAAAATTTCTTCAGAAATTTTATTTTCTAGTTGAGTGGGATTGCGAAGCATTCCCACTATATGTTATTCAAATCTTTATTTTTATTGAGTGGGATTGCGAAGCATTCCCACTATATGTTATTCAAATCTTTATTTTTAAATAATAAATAATAATAATAATAAAAATTATTATTATTATTCCGCCGTTGTTTGGCCCTCAACTACTTCCACATACTTCAACATATTCAAACCATTCAAACTTCAAAATGTTCCTCTGATTGAGGAGATGCCGGCTTGTATTCAAAATTTTCCTAACATTCATACTTTCCGAGATATTCCTGGTTTTCCGAGCGATTTCTCCCATTAGAAATGCATTGAGAATTTTCAAAATGGCCCCTTTTCTCACATTTCTTCCCACAACTTTAAAAGCCTTCAACTTGGTTATCTTCATGGTTTCGTGGTTGAGTGGTTAAGCAGTGGGTTCTTCCTCAGTGGACACAAGTTCAAATCCCGACAAGGGAACAATTGTTTCATATCTGGTACCCTTCGCAATAGCAATTCAGCTGAAGCATTCCCACATGAAATTTCTTCAGAAATTTCATTTTCTAGTTGTTATTCTCCTGTTTCTTTATTAAGTGGAAATGCTGATTAAGCATTTCCACTTATTGTTATTCTCCTGTTTCTTTAATCGTATTCTTCCGCCGATTTTTGCCACGCTTCTCCTCCTTCAAACTTTGTGCTATTTCAACCGTTCAAACTTTAAACTATTCCACTCCTTCAGGACATGATGGCGTCTATTTTTTACCTTTCTACCCTTTATACTTTTTGGGTTTTTTTTACTTTTTGTGCCAAAATTTTAACATTGAAGTCAATGGGGAAATCTTCCAATTCTTCCTTTTTTTCTTCCACCTTCTGAGCCTTATAACTTCAGCATACTTTTACCTAGAGACCTAATTTTTGCTTTAAAATGTTCATTCCCTTATTAAAGATGTACTCAGTTTTTTGATATCTTTTACAGTTTGTCCACAATTTAGCTTTAAGCAACTTGTGGTTTTCAGCGAATTTTCAGGCTTTATAATGGGTGTGTATTGGAGAGGCTAGAGTGACGATTTGAAAAGCTAGAGTGCAGACCTCGTCTATGATCGACAGAACCTTGCTCGAATATATCGCTCCCACGGCCAACAAATCTCACTCCACAGCCATAAAAAAAACATCAAAATGGAGGTATATGTGTCCTGCTTCTCACAAAAGAGGTTTCAAATCATTAAATCCTACCCCTTGGCCAGCAGGTGACCAACTGTCCAAATAGGCGGAAATCTCTCCCCATTAGCCCTAATGTATTTTTTCTCCAAGAAAATCCTTATCGCCACTCAGGCTCAGACTTTTTCAACTCGCTGTTGTGGCCACATTTTTCGGAGTACAGACATGAAAAACACATCATTGTGTTCATGAAGGGCGGAGGATTCGTACGATGTTCTTATTTTCATTCTGGGACTTAAGGAAATCACACTATGTGAAGAAGTTCAGAGGCCCTAAATTCACTGCAGTTCAGCACCTCTCAGTCAAACAGTAGGTCAGTGATTTGCCTTTCATCTAACAGCTGTTTAGGATGCAATCATTAACCACACACACACACACACACACACACACACACACACACACACACACACACACACACACACACACACACACACACACACACATTCTTGTACTTGTTGCTTTGTGAGGTCTACCTTGCAGTTCAGCTGCTTGTACACACAGTTAATATGTGTCTGCTTCACCACCTATCTCCACCCACAAACTTTGAGCTACAGAAACCATTCTGGGCTTCAAAAATTCAGCTCATTGAAGATATTATGGGGTGTTTTGAGGATTGTGATAATAAATTGTATTAATGTGTTTAGCAGAGTCTTGTGTTCTCACAAGCTCCTTATCATGAATATATACAGAGGATGAGCGTCAGGGCCTACTTGGAGTCCTGTTTCCTTAGCTTCAAGCCTTCTTTCTCCTGCTATAGTTATGCATCCAAGGTCCCCATGGCAACCAATTTGTGCACCTGGAGACACACAGCTGACTGGAAAGCTGCTTCTAATGGTCATATGAGACACATGAAGCCAGGCTCAGCACACATAGCACTGGGGATGACACTTAAAACCCTTTCCTAGAGCGCTTGAAAAAACTTCAGCCCCTATCTCCTCACATGACCTTTGACCTACAGAAACCATTCAGGGCTTTAAAATTTAAGCTCATTGAGGACATTATGGGGTCTATTCAGGATTTATATTCATTTAAATTTTTCTCATTTTAAAGTCACTCAGTGATGATTTATCATTTAATTTTTCAAACTAATTTAAACTCATTCAAACTGATTCAAACCTTTCTAATACTTAAAAACTTTCTGATACTTGAGGATTTTTTATTATTTAAATTTTCCCTGTTTTAAATCAGTTTTAATATTTATGCATTACTCCATCCTTCAAACAAAATTCTACCTCAAGTACTAGAACTACTGCTAATGTAAATTAAACCAGAACTTTCCCCTCTACTTCAACTGCGATTGCTCCTATTTCTACTTTCTCTACTGCTGCTATTGCTACTATTTCTACTTTCTCTACTACTTTGACTTATACTTCTTTTATTCTCAAACTACTTCTACTGCTGACATGACTACTAGTATCACAGCTTGACTTCTTATCATACTACTTCTAGTACTACAACTTAAACTTATGCCACTTCTCACCTTCCTGCCTTTTAAGGCAATTTCCTTCTTCATTCAAACTTTGTGCAATTTTAGACATTTTTCTAGCCTCTTTCAGCATGAATAAAATTTCCTTTTATGGAGCATATTCATACTATTTGTCCTTCAACCAATTAAACCATTATCCAACTTATATTTCTTTTTCACTCCTTCAACAGCCTTAACATTTATACTTTTCTCCATGTTTTATTAGCAGTTTAGCATTGCTTTTTCAGCTTTCAGCACTCAGCATTTCCACGCATTTTCTGCAAGGAAATGCAATTTTTCTAGTTATTATTTTTCTTCCGCCGTTTTTTGGCCCGTTATAACTCTTCTCCAGTTTGTGCTATTTCAACCATTCAAACTTTAAACTATTCCACTCCTTCAGGACATGTGCGGATGTATTTTTCTTTTTTCTACCCTTTAAACTTGTTGATTTTTTTAACTTTAGAAATGAATGGGGAATCTTCCAATTCTTCCTTTTATTCTTCTACCTTTTAAGCCTTATAACTTCAGCATACTTTCACCTAGAGACCTCATTTTTACTTTAAAATGTTAATTAACTTGTCAACTATTAATGTTGTATCACTTTGTTGTGATATCTTTTACAGATTTCCCACAATTTAGCTTTAAGCATTTCAGGCTTTATAATGGGTGTGTATTGGAAGAGCTAGAGTGGGTGATGTCATAGCTAGAGTGGACAGCTCCTCTTTTATCGACAAAACCTAGCTCGAATATATCGCTCCCACGCCCACAAATTTCACTCCACAGCCATAAAAAATACATTAAAATGGATGTATATGTGTCCTGCTACTCACAAAAGAGGTTTCAAATCATTAAATCCTACTCCTTGGCCAGCAGGTGACCAACTGTCCAAAAAGGCAAAGATTCCTCCCATTAACCCTAATGCAATTTTTCTCCAAGAAAATCCGGATCATCACTCAGGCTCAGACTTTTTTAACTCGCTGTTGTGGCCACATTTTTTAGAGTACAGACATGGAAAAACACATCACTGTGTTTAT